GCATACACTTATCTCGGATAACGGCACACAATTTGCAAATAACCCATTCAAAGAATGGTGTGAGGATCTTCAAATAAACCAAAGGTTTACATCTGTGGCACACCCGAAAGCGAATGATCAAATAGAAGTTACCAATAGAACAATAACTCATGTCCTGGCGACAATGCTAGATGCAGCTAAAGGTCTGTGGGTTGACGAATTACCGAGTGTGTTGTGGCCATACAGGACGAAAACACACACAACAACGAAGAAAAAACCTTTTACTTTGGTATACGAGTTGGAAGAAGTCATACCACTATAATTGATGGTCCTCATGGACCGAACCATGTTATTTTGATAAGGTCGATAACGATATCGGGTTGCAGACATACCTAGAGGTATATATGGAATGGAGAGAAATAACAACAATACGACAGGAACACTATAAGAAGTAGACCGAAAATCATTATAATCAATCCGTAAAGGCAGATATTTTAAAGTGGGCGAGCAAGTCTTATGGAACAACGAGGAAAGCCGACAAGAACCATAAGGCAAGTTGAGACCAATATGGGAGGGCCTATATAAAATCCAAGAAGCAAACAAGTATGGGTCATTCATCCTACAAACGATGGACGGAGAGACAATACCGAGGACGTGGAACATAAAAAATCTAAGAAAACTGTATGTATAAAAAAACCATCAAATAAGATAGAACAACGTTCAAGACAAACCTACAACTCATATGGGAGAAACGACATCCGAGTATACATATAGCATGGTCTCGACGTAAGTCATACCATTGCATGATCGCCATGATCATTATCACTTATACGGGACAAACGACATCCCAATATACGTATATCGTAGTCTCGACGGAAGCCATACCATTACATGATCGCCATGATCATTATCACTCATACAAGACAAACAACATCCTGGTATATGTATAGCAAGGTCTCGACGTAAGTCATACCATTACATAATCGCCACGATCATTCTCACTCATACATGACAAACAACATCCCGATATACGTATAGCATGGGCTCGACGCAAGTCATACCATTGCATGATCACCACGATCATTATCACTTGTATTGGACAAACAACATCCCGATATACGTATAGCATCGTCTCAATGGAAGTCATACTATTGCATGATCTCCATGATCATTATCACTTGTACGGGACAAAACGACATCCCGGTATACGTATAGCATGGTCTCGACGCAAGTCATACCATTGCATAATCGCCATGATCATTATCACTTGTACGAGACAAACGACATCCCTGTATACGTGTAACATGGTCTCGATGCAAGTCATAATATTACATGATCTCCATGATCATTATCAATTGTACGAGACAAACGGCATCCCGATATATGTATAGCATGATCTCCACGCAAGTCATGCCATTGCATGATCGCCACGACCATTATCACTTGTACGGGACAAAAGACATTCTGATATATGTATAGCATGGTCTCGACGCAAGTCATACCATTGCATGATTGAAAATAATTTTACTTTACAACTTAGTTTTTTTTATAAATTTATTTCGAAAAAAATACTTTTCTTTACATATTTGAATGTATGCATGTTTTTGAAGAGTGTTTTGGTTATATATATATATATATATATATATATATATATATATATATTTTTTTTTTTTTTTTTCTCGAAGTTTTCTATTTATTCATTAGATTTTTTTTTTCAAACAAACACAAGATTTTTTTTGCAATGCAACAAACCATAATTCTTATTGCAAAATTGACACTTACGCTGGACACCTAATTTATACTAAGGATCATATTTATAATCTCTTTAACAAACCGATTGATATTCAAAGAACGTTTCCTTTCTAGTGAATAACTTCTTTCGGAAATTAGTGGGTGGAGCGGTGAACTACTTCTATTTTAAGACAGGGATGTCAAAAAGTCTTATGAGACCCCGTTTCCGTAGGAGGCCCGTAATAAATCGGAGGCGGGGGTAATAAGGGGGATTTGGGGGCGGAGGTGGGGGTAGGGGAACGAGTAAATTTCGGGGACGGGGGCGGGGGATACATTCCCCGTCCCGTTTGCTCCCGTTGACATCCCTAGTTTAAGAGCTTAATAATACAAAGACTAATCACTACAAGAAAAATCATGAATAGCTACGGAAAAATGCTACGAAATCAAATTTTGTAGCTATTTTGCTAAGGAATATGCTACGTAATGATTTTCCGTAGATTTTTTGTTACAAAATTTTCTACGAATTAAAATTCTGTAGCAAACTTATAACTAATTACGGAAATTTGTTACGGAATCGTAACCTGTAGTTAGTCTGCTACTGAATTTGCTACGGAGTTAAAATACATAATTATTTTGCTACGGAAATTACTATGAAGCAAAATTTCGTAACAATTTTGCTACAAAATGATATTCCGTAGCTATTTGCTATGAAATTTAGTTACGTAAATTAATTTCGTAGTTATTTTGCTATGAAATGAAATTCCATAGCTATTATGCTACGAAATTTTGCTACAAAACTGGTTTACATAGCTTTTTTGCTACGGTGGAAAAATCCATAGCTCTTTTGTTACAAAAACTTCTACGGAACTAAGTTATGTAGCTACTTTGCTACAGAATGGAACTTCATAGCTATTTTACCCTTAAAGTTTTTCTGAATTTTTTTTAAAATTTTAATAAATGACATATAAGGTAGGATAAAATATAACTTTGGTTGCAATAATTAACAATAACCGGTGGCAGATCATCTATTTGCAAAAGAATAAAGAATTTAATTGTATTTGTATTCTTTGCAACAGAGAGAGGGGCATAAAGAGTTCAAATTATATTTGCAAAAGAAAGCAATTATTCTAAAATGTATGAAAGTTTGACTTTTGTTCCCTTGCAAATATTCTGATGCTTCTTCCATTGCAAATAAACATACCTAGACTCATCCTATAAACAAAAGTCAAAGTCAGTTTGACTTTTATTATGATGTGAAATTAAAATTGTTTAAAGTTATGATGTGAAATTAAAAGTTTTTAAAGCTTGTACACACCTGAATTTACCAAAACATAGTTTTTCTCTATAATATGAGGTCCAGATCTTTTTTTAGTTGTAAATTTTGTTTTCGATAAGTTTTATCCATCTAAACATTCTTAAGTCTCAAAAATATAATTAATACCTAAATTTGTATTTTATCGTGGAGAATTGGAGATTGTGAACCACTGAACCCTATAATCCTAATACTTCACCAAAAACATACCTTCCTCATTCCTCAGTTTTCCCCCAATCTCTACTTACGCCATTATCGATAGGACTTCGCTCTACGTGCTCCGCCCCCAAATGATCGACGTGAACTATATAAATTCGATGAAGCTCCTCTCACAACTCATGTTTGCTATGTCGTTTGTTGCCTTCTCTGTCAATCGGTAGGTTGTAGGAGCATAAAGAACGACTGATTCTCGGTGAAGATAGATCAACGGCGAACGACTAAGCTACTATCTTCATCTCTCTGCGACTGCGAAGATCATTGAACATCTGATTCCCGGTGAAGATCAACCAATGGAAAATGAAAAATGCTCTCTTCATCTCTCTGCGACTGCACGAAGATAACCGACTATCTCGATCTCTATGCTACCTTATAGCTTATAGGTATGCGCTTCCATTATATGTGTGTAACTTGTAACTGTGCCCTAACATTTTGTCGTAATGGCATTGCAAACATCACCACCACAACTGATGGAAAGGTTAATTTAGATTTGTTGGTGATTGTGTGCTTGGATGGTGAAAGTTCAATTGATAATGAGATTTACAAATTCATGAACCCTAATTTGAAGATGCAGAATGATTGAGTGAACGAGGGAATGGCGTTTGATGGATAACCATGAGTTTAGTTATAACCTTGGGGGCATTGGACAATAGTATTGACCAAATTTTCTTCATCTCTGTCGATACTATATTTTTCTAATTAACTGAAGTTGGCATTTCATGCTCGTTTTTGCAGGTCACTCAGATCCTACGAAGTTAGAATTAAAAGCTCATGATGTTCAATAGTTATCTACAGATGAGCTACAAAATCATCATATGGAAATCAAGGTGAGAAACTGAGCCATATACGATGTGCTAACTTACAATTGAGCTATGTTGGGCTCTTGAGCACCTATGCTTCTTTGAGCACACAAGTAAGGATATTCTAGGTTATGTTAAACTCAAACCCTTTTTTTCAGAATACAGACAACGTGCAAAAACAACATGCTATCGAGAGGCCACAATCTTTCCAAAATACCTACTTGCAAGAACCAGGTTCTCTACGATGATGCATAACCTAATCCTAGATCATTAATGAAATAAAAAATACCATCTATTCTATGCTAATCTCATATAGAGGTAACAAATGATAGTAATACTAATAATGTAGTTTCTGTGTTCTACTAATATGATTACCATATTCATAATATGGTAATAGCATGTATCTGTTGAATACTTCCTGCAATAGAGCATATTAGTTATTGAAATACTTAACTCATATAGTCATATGTCAATTATTAACCTTAATTTGTGAGTCTCACATGTTCTTAGGATATGTAAGTGTAACATTATCTATTAGTCTCCATATTTATTATTTTCTTTGTGTTTCAATTTCAAACATAATTACTAAAAATTTTATATGCTCAAAACTATTCTTTCCTAGTAGAAGTCAAATTTTTAATCAATGTCTTTTGTTTGTTCTTTATGACATGCTTATAAAATTTTCATGGTGACATGTTTTATGCTGTCTATTGTATGTTTTTTACATTTAGGAACCGGTGGAGAAATTAGAAATGTCATCGGATGTAAAACTAATGTGAATTGCTATTGATGACTTAAATAATTGCATGATGACTTGTAAAAAATTTGGTTTGTTTTTCTTTATTCCAGGTTCTGCTCTACTCTTATTCACTCTGCTTCTTGAGATAATTTTTTTTAGCTTTGGTTTGTTTTTCTTTATTCCAGGTTCTTCTCTACTCTTAAAATGAAAAACGATCCACCAAATGACACGTCAGCATTACCACCAAAGATTGTATCTCTTGTTGAAAGTGTAGCTCAAAATACATCTGGCAGTGTATTTTTACCTGAGGTAGGTCTTTTCAAATATAGTAAATCTTTTTCTATAATATTTTAAATTAAATGATATGTATTATTTTTGGTATTTAATAGGGAGGCCAAGAAATTGAAGTTTATGGATCACCAACAGGAAGGCCATACTTCAATGGGGGGTTAATGTTAGTTCTTCATTCATATTTTCATTTTTTATACATTTAATAATTAAATGATACTCATCTTTTTTATAAAATAAATACAGATTGGGATGAATTTTGTAGCAGTTAGATCAGAATCTTCGATTATTCACGCATTCCCATTTAATTCGGAGAAAAAACGAGGCGATGTTGCTGTAAAACGGGTAATTTTATTGGATTATTTATAAAAGATTTTAAATGGTTCACATAAAAAGTATATTTTTGATTTTTTTTTAATTTTCTCAATAGCCTGATTCTGAAGTTCATGTACACTGGAAAGGGCAGTTGAAATTGTGTTAGCAGCATGTACAAGATACATGGACATTGATGGACAACTTGTCCTCCTCAATGAAGAAAAGGTTAGAGATTTCATCTTAATTGAAAAAAAAAAAAGAAAAATTTTTCTAATTTGTGATTGTTTACATTACAGGTGGAATATTTTAAAAAAGCAATTGAAGATATGGCTTCTGGAAGTTTGTGTTGTGTTGCTATTGCATACAGACCATGTGAAGCAGAAACTGTTCCAACTGGCGAAGATGAGCTGGCACAATGGGAGCTACCTGAGGGTGATCTTGTCTTGCTGGAAATTGTTGGTTTAAAGGTATGTGAATGTCCATGTCCATGTCATCAAAGAGATTTATATATATTTTGATACATGGTTTTCCTTGTAGGATCCATGTCGGAAAGGTGTCAGAGAGGCTGTTGAACTGTGCGTAAAGGCTGGTGTGAAGGTAGTATACAATATTTAATTATTATTTTTGTAATTTTGTGTAAATGGTTTTTTATTTTATTTATTTGTAATCCATGTAATTGCCTTAGAATGTGGAATTTTGGCATCAAATGCTGATGCAGAAGAGCACAATCTAATTGAAGGGAAATCTTTCCGTGCCATGTCATAAGACCAAAGACTAGAAGTTGCTGAGAAGATTTCGGTATGTGAATTTACTATTTTGACCCTAGTCGAGTAGTTGTAAACAAGTTTTATAAGAATGTAATGTTGATTTTGAAACAGGTGATGGGGAGGTCTTCACCTAATGATAAACTGTTACTTGTCCAAGCGTTGAGGAAGAGAGGACATGTTGCTGTTGCTGGAGATGGGACAAACGATGCCCCTGCTCTACATGAGGTAGTAATTCAAGATTTTTCATCATCAGTTTAATTATTTTTACTGTATTTTATATCTTTTTTTTAATGAAATTGTAGGCTGATATTGGTCTTGCTATGGGCATCCAAGGAACTGAAGTTGCAAAAGAAAGTAGTGACATCATTATCTTGGATGATGATTTTGCTTCTAAAGGTACTGTCTTATATTATATATATAATGCTCTTAATTGCAAAAAATTAATTGTATTCCAATGATTAATTTAATGTGTGAATTAATTTAATTATAAACAAACAAACCAATTCCACTCCACTCAAGGTGATAACAAAACCATCATTTTTAAGCTATGGTTCTCAAAAGGTGATTCATTTTGTTTTGTGTTCATTTTTAGAATTTATATTTCTAGTTGGTCAAAAATTAGGAAACCCTCAAAGAAAAGCAAAATGAGATTTCATACAACGGATTGAATTTTAGTCAAGTTGATTATAAATTTGATTTTGCAGGTTTTGCCATTTTGGTTGAGTATATGTGGATGTGTGTGTACGTGGCAGTTCAAATCTAAACTGTGTGACTGTATTTATAATTAATATTCAGTTTTGATGATTAGACAACATTGTAGAAGAATTTTCGATGATATCATGTATCCATAAAATTGATGTAACTTTAAAATTTATATTTACTATGTTTTTATATGTTTTTATGAATATTATAATTGAAAATTGGATTTTGTTGAATATTTTTATCATACCGAATTTGCTTTGAAACCTATTACTACGGGACAAATTGTTGTTGAACAAATAACTATGTAATTCGCTATGGAACAAACGACTACGGAATTTGCTACCTAATAGATGGCTACGGAATTCGTTACGGAATAAACGACTATGGAATTTGCTACGGAACAGATGGCTACGGAATTTGCTACGGAACACATGACTACGGAATTTGCTACGAAACAGATGGCTCCGGAATTTGTTACGGAATACACGGCTACAGAATTTGCTACGGAACAGACGGCTACCGAATTTGCTACGGAACAAACGGCTACGGAAATTGCTACGGAACAAACGGCTACGGAAATTGCTACGGAACAAATGGTTACGAAATTTGCTACAAAAAAATAGTTACGGAATTTGCTATGGAACTCAAATTGCAACGAAATAGATGTCGTAGAAACTGTCATAACAAAAATGCTACGGAATTATAATTCCGTAGCTAAACATTTTGGTACAAGAAATAAAGTTACGGAGTCTAATCGATAAATTGCGTAGCAAATTCCGTAGTTATTCAACTTTAGCTACGGAATTTCAGATTTTAGCTATGGGATATTTCCGTAACTAAATTGAAATTTTCTTGTAGTGAATGAATAGTTGAGGAGGTAATTTTGTAAAGAATAAAATCCAAAATGACTGGGTTACAAGGCAAACTAAAGTGACTAGTGACTCAAACTCCAATAAACAAATGGGCTAGAAATTGGCCCACTTATTTGAAGCATCTAAGTAATAGAATGCCATAGCGATTTAGCGTTAATGTATGATGAATTGATGTATAATATACATTTCAACAATTTCAATTGTATGTGATATCAAATAAGTGTTTTTGTGTGATTGGGAAACTCATATCATTGTTACCGTCATAGACCCCCAAATATAACTAAGTATTAACATTATGAATACCAAATATACATATTTTGAATATATAATATAATTAAATAATTTGTATAATGGAAGTGTGAGATTGTATAAGTTGCTGAAATATCAAGATTGCACAAATAAGAAAAAGTAGCAAAAGAAGAAAAGTGCATAATTTCCAGATAAAGGGTTTGCTCATGAATATCCACACAATTTGGTAGTTTTCTTTGAAAGTGGACACGAGTGCTCACGAAAATTAGATCCACAAACATCCGTTGATCGACACTACTATTCGCTGGACAAAAAATGACATTGTGTGTGTTTTATGATAAAGTGGATATCAATTGAATATAAAGTCTAATTTTTTTTTTGAGAGTTTCAAGTGCTGAATCTCGTCAAGGTCCAAAAGTTAATATTTTTGCAACTTGCAAAAAAAAAAAAAAAAAAAAAAAAAACAATTTGAAACACCTAGATTTTATAAGAAAGTAGCAACATGATTTTTTTTTTTTTTGGCATGTGGCTAAGAGGCACCAGGTGTATTGAAAAAGTGCGTGCTCATCGGTTATTAGCTTGTAAGTTTAATTCTAGACAAATATATAGATTTAGTATAACAAAAATACATTAACTCTAGATTTTAAAGATGCAAACTTTTTGTTTCACACTCTTTGTTTCTCTACCTGAACTTTTAGGTGTGTTTTGTCTTCTAAGACGGGATGGTATGGGTCTCGTTGAGACTCGTTGTGGCTGAGGTGGACGCCAAAAATGGTGTTGCATCTCGTTGTACACCGTCCCCCCCACCCCTTTCTCGTTATGTGACATCTTGTTGGTGTTACAACATATCAAAACGGGAACTAAGAACCAATCAAAATCTTTTTTCTTCCTATTTCTTTCTTTCTCTCTCTCTATCTTTTTCTACCTCTTAACAAGTTATAACATTGGAACGTCATTTCCTACATGGTGTTATCGTGGTGTTAAGGTTGACGTGACATGTAAGATAGCGTTATAACACCGGCCCATACTCAATGCTCTAATTCTTGTGAGACGGAAATATATCATGAAGTTGATCTCCTTTATTCATGGAAATCAAAAGACAACATGTTGTCGATTATACTATATAACTTCTAATGTTATACCAAAATATAACAAATTTACCTTTTCCAGTGATGCTTAATTAGTCAACCTTGTGAAAAATAAGAGTTAACTACTTCGAGACCATGCCCACCTCTTTCAAATATTGTTGTTAAGAACTCAATTTTGATATTAAGATGTTATGATTTTAAGATCCTACAAGCCAAAAATAATCTTGATCTCACTAGTATCTATCCGAAGCAAGATCTATAGTGAGATATTAAAATCCTTACTAGGATTTTAAGATCTTAAAATAATCTAATCTCACCTCTCTAGTTTTATTATATAGTCGATGCTCAAAATAATTTCTATTCAACTTTAAATCGAGCATCACGCTTTGCAAGAAGCCTCATAGAATTTCATCCATTCATTTTGAATTAGACATGTCACATTTATGATATTCCATGTGTGATCTTAAGCTTTTAGTTGTATATGATCATAATGATCTTGTTACTTTTTGTATTTAAAATGTTTTTTTTCCTAATATTTACAGTTTGCATCAATAAAAATTATGGCTCGTTTTTGAAAAGTTAAAGTTTAGTTCGTATCGACGTCTTAATCAACATCAAGCTATAATGTATATTACACATCCAATACCTTACAAACAAAGTTCAAATTTAGACCATGAGGTTTGGAAAAATTACACCACATGGTTTTTTAACTTTATTTTTCGTTTTTTGTATACTTTATTTATTTTCGGTTTTTTTATAAATATATATACATTTTTTATTTTCTTTTTTTATATATACTTTATTTATTTTCATTTTTAACTTTATTTTTCAACAATTTTTTTTTTCATTTTTTTATTACCTTTTGTTTTCTATTTTTTAGTGTTATGTAGAGTATATTAGAGTTTTTTTTAGTTTTTTCATAATTCTTTTCGTTTTATATTTTATTTTTTTCATCTTTTTATTATTATTATTATTTTTTTTCTTATTTGTTTTTATTTTTTTGTATTTTTAACTTTTTATTGATCTTTTTTCAAAAAATGTAAAATGTATTAATATATTAGAGTATATTACAATTTTGATAATTTATAGTCTTTGTAATTTTTTTATTTTTATTCAAGTAAATAAAATAGTTATGTTTATATTTGTAATTTCGGTCCAACTTATTTTCTTTTTATTCTTTTTTTTAGTGCTATTATATTTATGTTACGAAAAAATACAAATTAAAATAAATTAGCTTTTTTTTTTGTTGAGAATTAATGTTTCAATGTGTTATATAACTTGCAAATTAAATCATATTTCTATATGTGATATCAATAGTTTATATTAAAGTTAATATTTTTCAGTTTGATAATAGATTAGAAGAACGAACAAAAAAATAATAATAGTCGGTCTCTATAACAAAACTTCTTATATTAATTTATATTGAATTCAAGTTCGTTTACTTGAATCAAAATAAATAAAAACATTAGAAAAAACATAAATAACTAAAATAGAAAAAAAGGTAAAAAGATAAAAAAAAAATCAAATTGTTTGAAAAATAAAGTTAAAAAATGAAAATAAATAAAGTATATAAAAAAGAAGATAAAAATGTATATATATTTATAAAAAAACCGAAAATAAATAAAGTATACAAAAAACAAAAAATAAAGTTAAAAAACCATGTGGTGTAATTTTTTGCAAACCTCCGGGACCAAATTTGAACTTTTTAGGACTGATTTTGCAAAAAAGTTAACCAAGTTAATCATGAAACTCGTTAAGTGGGTTAGAGTGATAATTCTGCGAAAAAGTTGTGGGCATAACATAATAAAAGAAATATTAAGGCTTTTTTCCAATTACGCATTAAAAATTTATAGCTTTTATAATATTAGTCCTTATAAATATATTAATGTAATTTATAAATTTGTAAATACAATGATTATAAACTTTAAGTTTATCATTATATTTATATTTATGATACTATCAAATATTAAATATATACACACATACATAAACACATATTAATAAGTATTAAATATGAGTGATATAAACTAAAATAAAACATAACATGTTTTTCCTTTAAAAATGAACTTTTGCTATTTTTTTTAAAGACTAAAATTATATTAAAAATAGCATTTAATTAAAAAACCACACTATAAATTAAAAAAAATACATGATAATTAAAAAAACACTTAAAAAAGACAACATAATTAAAATCCTAGACAATTAATATTAACTAGTTATCTAAAGGGCAAATGCTATAAGTACCCTTATTCTTTTCCAATTACACCCCTCTTATGTGATTTTTTTTGTCTTTTATTGTTTTTTTTGTTTGTTTTTTTCTCTATTTTGTTTTTTGTTGTTTTTTCTCTATTTTTTAATTTTTAATTTTAATCTTATTATTATTATTTAGTATTATTATTATTATTATTATTATTATTATTATAAATTTCAATAACCGTATAAAACTCGGACAACATTTTAAAATTCGGATGAAATTTTAAAATTCAGACGACATTATAAATTTGGACGAAATAATAAAATTCGAACAACATAATAAAATTCGAACGACAATATAAAACGGACAAAAGCAAAGTTTGTCTTTATTTATCATTGATACTTTTGTTCCATTTTATATTGTCGTTCGAATTTTATAATATCGTCCGAATTAATAATGTTGTCCGAATTTTAAAATGTTGTCCGAATTTTATATGGATATCGAAATTTATAATAATAATAATAATAATAATAATAATAATAATAATAATAACTAGATGAGTGACCCATGAAGTTTCTCCCTTATTCATATAGTCCCTTATTTCAAAATAAGAAAAAATTATTTAACCGAAATAACTGCCTCAAGTACTATTTTTACCCAGGGCTTTGCTACTTCGGGTCTTTTAACTGAAATACGTAAACCCACAATATTAGTACCTGCTCTACAATCGGAGTGGTTAATAATGCACGTA